GATCGGGCCTTTTAAGAGCTTTCACAGCCACCGTAGTTTCTTCTACTTCACTTTGAAGGCTGAGCTGTATGCAAATGGTTGCAATCTGCAGCTTCACCACTAAATGACAATAACTTATTGTATAAATCACAACAGAGCAACAAAACAAGAGGTGATTCAGGAGAAACCGAATCAAATGCAACAATAAACCGAAACGATCCAACTACTTTCTCACTTGTGACCTCATAAATCAATTTAATCCACAAATTTAGGGTCCTTTGAACTGTTCCCGTAGCCTGTTTGATAACTTTATAAGCCTCTTTTGTTTTATTTGAGTGGATCAGATTTAAATAAAGGTCACTAAAGCTTTTTTCAGCCTCTTCTCTCTGCCTATTCTTAGACAGGCGACTTTGGTTTGAGATGTAATTTACCAGCTGCGCCGTCCCCTTCTTTTAAATGAACCCCCTCCTCCTGCACTTTGTGTTTGGTTTAAGGCGTATAAATCTCCTCTGTTGGCCTTTGTGGAGTGATTTAGGAGGCTGTGGGTTGTCTCTGTCCTGGAGCCACTGAGTGAAGAGGTGTAGCCAAGAAGTAAATGAGAGGGGCAGATAAGAGGAAATAAGAATCAAAGATAAAATTAGGATAAAAGCGAAAGCAGAACGAGTGGTTAAGCGAGAGAGAAGATCATAAGAAAAACAGCAAAAGAGAAAATCTAATCATTCCTCTGGAGCTGATCCTGAAATTGTAGGTCGTTCTTATTGTGGACAATCAGATGGGAACCTCCTTCAGTCGCTTGCACAAAGTGGACCGGCTAATTAAGACTTTTATTTTGGTGATTAAAGGAGCACCAAAGACAATTTCACACACACAACGACTTCCCCACATGGCAGCGAGATATGATCAGTCTGTCTAAGTTTGAACGCCAAAAAACAAGCAAACAAAAAAGACATGAGCTACATACTTTTGATTTCTAGGATTTAAAGTTTCATCTTTCTAAATAAAACTGGGCATTGTAGTTTTTAGCAAATGTTACTCAAACAGGAGTAAAAAAGTGGTTTATTAATACACAATTGGTGTCCTGGTGAGTATATGTTCATCTTTATAAAGGAACATCTCATCCAGTGCACCCGTGTGGCTAATTGATGTGTCTTTAATAGTTTTTGGACAACAATGGAGGTCTATTATATATATATATATATATATATATATATATATATATATATATATATCAGGCTTCAGCTGTACAGGCAGTGCTTGTTAGTTGGATCGATTCATTGATTTGTTGACAATAACAAAAAACAAAAAAAAAAAAAACAGCCTTGTGGTTTAATCTGTATCTGTGATTTAACTCTTTAAATTTAGCTTTACCTACCTCCCACTTATTGTAATTGCCTGATTAAGCAATTTGATTTAATTAGTTGGATTAAACAAACTGCAGCCGTTATTTATTTGATTTAATTTGATTTTCAAGTCTGAATGGTGACTCTGCAGTAAGAACCACACAAGGTCTGCTGGCTCGCAGACACCAAGCGCTTAATGGATGTGTAAACATTCAAAGTGAAAGATGATGCCGAGAGGGAAGGACGGAGATAAAATCGTCCTTTGTGAGTATTTAGCCTCTTGTGATAGATGAAGATGAGACCGGGAGCAAAATGAAAAGAGCTGAAAAGAGGTAATAAGAGAGGTCCGGAGGCGTTTACTGACACTTGGTCTCTGTGGTTTTAAGTAGTCGGTAAACACAGCTCACGGTGCTCCCTAACAAGTTCCATGAATATTTACATACTGTTTAAGCAAACACACCTCCTGCACATGACTTAGACTTCTTCAAATGTTTTCCACAAAAAATGTTTTCCACAAATTAAATTAGCTCACATTACACAGACAGAAAACAAAACACAGTTGTTTCCCGCCTGCTGTTGTTTGGTTTAGCAGATGTTTTTTTTCTGTGACCGTTTGTGCATTTTTTTCTGTCTGTCTTTAGGTCTTTGTGGCAGACCATGTTGACCAAGCAGACGTCAAAAAATGCACAACTGGCAGTGAAACTTTGGCATATTTTGTTTGGGAAATGAAAGGAATTCAGAGCAGCTCACTCCACACCCTTTCTGTCCCTTTATGGTAGGACGCACGCTGCTTCTTGTGTTGGGACTGACTGTTAGCGGCGGATGTAAATCTTAAGAATTTCACATCAAATCACATCCGATTCGGACTTAATTCCCATCCTATGTTGAGATTCCTGGTGTATGATATGGGAAGCTCATCTATCCTCATCCTCAGCACTCTGTGGGATTAGTTCTGAGTCATGAGTGAGTTGAGTCTTGAAAGTCAATCAGCAGCACGTTTAATGCTCAGAAGAAGGAGTGGCATTTTGACACGGGCGCATATGAGGTAACTTAGGGACAGAGGTGGCGAGAGGGTCACCATTTGAGGGAGGTGGGCTTAAAATAAGAGGGCAAAATCAGGTGTTGGTGGGGGGGGGGGTTCCGTGGAATTTTGGAGAGGAGAGCAAGGAATGCTGGGAATGCCAGTCATGAGGCGGACTAAAGGTAGGGCGGGGTCGCTGCAGGTCTGGAGGTCAGCTGATGGCTCACACCCCAAGTCTGATCTGAGGTCCTGGTGGCTTTAAAAGGGCTAAAAATGACAAGACCATCCTCCTCTGTGTGAAAGCATTTCAACCAATGAGGTTTTTCTTTTTAAAAATTAGTGGCCCATTTAACAAAAGTATGTGCTGATGGGGCACTGACTTACTTTAGTAGCATGTTCCTCGGGACCCCCTCCCTGCAGGTCTCTGCCCTAACACACATTAAAAATCCAAAAATTTTAAATCCACACAAATGTTAAGTCTAGTTTGACTTTGTTTGTTTGGAACCTTTTGTACTTCTCTTTTTCTTTTCTTGCTTTCTTTAACGGTGCAAACTGTTAAATAGGTAAAGGTAAATCGTGGCTGATCTTTCTCTGCCATTCTTGTAGCTTTAGCGATATCTGTCTGACCGACTTGTGGGAGACTGTGGAAGGAAATTAATTACTTACAAGCCTGTGACTGCTACAGATACCGGATTAATTTCAGTTCCTTTCCAGAACATTTGATGTATTGATTTCTGTCAGGATGTAGAGAGAATGTCAACAAACATAGTAAAAAATGCTACTGAAATACATGACGTACCCTGGTTTTAAGCAATAGCTAGCCACTATGTTCTATATCTATGTATATGGTGTTGGATCGGTGCACAGACACACATACTTGCCGATACTTAATACCACATCTTAGGCAGGAATCGGACCAGTGTGTTTTAAAATGTCTGATTATAGCTACTAGAAATTATGATTTTACATTTCACTGTGGCTTGTTAGAGAGTTCAATGCAGACAAAATCAGATATTTGTACATCAGAGAGGTGACTAAAGGAAGGCTGTCGGACTTAAAATATAGCTGCTTAAAAAACAATTAAGTATTGACACCATGCGGGAGCTTATTTTAGATTTTTGTGCACCTACCTGCCACATAATGCACCTAAGTGTCACTTGGATCGCAGAAGTTAAATAGAAGTTTCATCGAAGAGACAAGCATACTGCTTCCTGCTAAAACCTCTTATCTCAGAGTTGTGCCTTTGTTGTATTCCTCCCAAAACAAAGGTTACACCACCATGTAGCACCACCTGATGACCCTCCCTCCCTCCCTTCTTAAAACCAGCTCTCGCTTTCTTTATCTCATCTTTTATTACGCCCCTCCAACCTGTCCCAAGCAGAGTGTCTCCTCTGTGGTGTCATTTTTCAGGGCTTTCCTGGAGGAGTTTGTGCTGGTGGGAATGGAGCCTGAGTTGTCCATTAGTTAGATTAGCAGCTCTGTGGGGAGGCTCTGGTTCCCTCTCCCCTGGCTCGGACAGACAAAGCTCTGGCCTGCCTGCCATTGTACGGCTGTCAGTAGGAGCTGGTAGCTACTAGAGAAAACTCTGTCAAGGCCGAGATCCACTGATAGGTGCTGTGAGCCAAGGCTGTGTGTTGTTTACTTGTTAACATCCATGTCCATACTGAAAAAAGGGCTGTAAAAGTATCATTATTTATGTCATACTCCTTAATTCCTTACTTTTTTCTGTCTTATTTGTATATTTAATGTAATATTTCTCTTTTTCAGCATTGTTTGCCAACTTACCACATAGCTGACCGCTGTGAACTGATGTGAATTTACCCATTTTTGGTCTTTGTCGGGATGTTTTTGTCTTTTAACGATTGGTTTTTACCACCTGATAATAAAACTATTTAAGGATGTGTAACGTAGTGGCAGCACACATACCATTTAAGGATCTAATAGTGTCCTGGCAGGCTTGATTCACTGATCATAAAACATGACGGGTGGGACGAGATAAAAGCATTTATTTGGTGGTTTGCATTATTTGAAAATGTATGGTGGTAAAATTGGCTTTAGCGAAGGCTGTCATTGTCTTGAATGCCTTAAAGAAATAGTTCTACGTTTTGACAAATACCCTTATTCACTTTATTGTTGAGTGTTAAGATGAGAGGATTGGTGCCGCTCTCATATCTGTGTGTTAAGTATGGAGCCAGGAAGTGGTTCAGCTGAGCTTATTGTAGCTTGGCGTAAGACTGGAAACAGGGAGAAACAGCTGTCCTGGCTTGGTCCAAGTTAAACCTCTAAAGCTAACTGTGAAACAGTTTATATGGTTTGTTTAATCTGTACACAAACAACAGCAGTTCCTGAGTCCCGCTGTCACCAGTGGAGATGCGAAAGGTCCTTTCTAAAACGTTTTATTTCTTTTTATCTGTGTTCGGATTAAACAAATTGTCTGCAACTTGGTTATTAGTGAGCTTTTGAAGTGTTAGTGGCTGTATTTCTGAACTTTGGACTGTGCCAGGCTAGCTGTTAACACCTGTTTCAGTGACACTAAGACAACCGCCTTCTAGGTTTAGCTCTATATTTGACACACAAACACGACGTATCTCTGTGTATGCTAATGCTTTTTTTTTTTATTTTAAAAAATTGAAGTTTCCCTTCTTTCTGTGTCTTTTCAGTCTTTGCAGAAAAATGGACAAATCTCCAGCATGACGAGTCTGAACGGACACTCGGAGGACAACACGCTGGCAGAAGGTGTGTGTGTATGTGTAGTGAGTGTGTGTGTGTCGGTCCTCGTCAATACTGTTTATTTATAGTGTGTGACTTTGGGTGATGTTCCTGTGGTCGGTGTGGGTGTTTGTGTGTGTTTGTGTCTGGGATTTTGTACTGTTTCTTCAGCAGTGGCAGAAGGTAAGCTTGTTTGTGTGGGGTCAGTTTTCAGTGTGTGTGTGTCAATGTGTGTGTGTGTGTGTGTGTGTGTGTGTGTGTGTGTGTGTGTGTGTGCAGATTCTTGCCTGCAGATGTCTTCATGGGTCTGCAAGATCTACTTGATCCTTAAATAATCCCTGTGTCAACACATAGGGGACACCTACATGGGCTTTTTAACATAGGAGCCACACACACTGACTCACACCCACATACCGAGCATACTGCTCCCCCCACTATTCCTCTTTTAACTAGATAATTAATTAGATACACACATATTGTATATTTGGTCCCAGTGTGATGCTCAAATCACATCCCTGTGTGTGAGCAGCTGCAGAAATGTCACTTTAAATTTGTCAAAACATTAAAGAAAGGCCAAGTTTTTGTAAAAAATGCCTTTGCACAGAGTTGGAAATTCAAACTCAAAACCATTTTAAGGGGGCTGTCAGTGGTGGGAGATACTCTAAGGACACAGTGATCTGAGGTAATCATTAACTAGTAATAAAGTTGTCAAAATTAATTTCTGCCACTTAAATTAACATGTGCTCCAACCTGCTCTGTCCATCTCCTGCAGCCTCTTATCTCCAAAGCAGTGTTTGTTTATTTTCTTTGCCATTTCTGTCGTGTCTCCCTCAATATGGGAGGGCTGCCGAGGCCTGTACAACCCTCCCTCAATATTTAGCAGGCCGTGACCTGGGCCCCAGCACAAAGCAACCTGCGCACTTCATAATATGTTATGGCCCAGGGGAAGGGGTAACCTTATACTACTTAAAACACAGAGATATGTCACATACCACTCTGTCAAATAACCTATTTAATAAGCTATTTAATGAAGCAATTCTGTCAGTTTATAGAGTAACCCAATACCGTCTTCAGAGCAGAGATACAGAGTGTATGAGTCGATGTGGCACGTAGACTAGTGGGGAGTAATTTGGTTGTTGAAATCATTGCTTCTGTGGACACTGTAAGTTAATTAAGATATAGAACAGAAAAAAGGGGTGGCCCCAGTAGCTAACCTAGTATAGCACGATGTACTAAAGCTGAGTCTGAGGTACAATTCCAACCTGTGTCCTCCTTGCTACATGTCTTCCACATATTTATCTTGTAAGGAATGCTTAGATCTTGTGCACTAATGCATACAGAAATAAAAGTTGCAGCCTTCATGTTCACAAAACCATGTGATCAAAACTTTGCATGCAGGTGATCTGGCCAAGATAAAATGCAATATTGCTGCCCACAAAATTACTCCTATTTCTTCCTTTGCCTGCATAATGATATTTACACCCAACCTGAATAGACCTAAAATAGTAAACGACACTTTTGAACACTGTGGTCAAAAAGTGAAACAATGAGAGCACATTTTCCAGCACTTCACACTTCACACTCTTCTTCTAGCCTCAAGAAAACATATTTTTCTTCTGAGATGATAATGACACATCTGCTCAGATCCACTTGGGTTTTTTTTTTTACACATATTCACACACAGACCCCAGATGACTGATAATTCACTCACAGAACCAAAAACAGGAGAGAAACATAAAACAACTGAAGCTGTGAAAGAACTTCAAGGCCACTGATTAAAGAGCAAGGGAGTGAAAGGAAGGTAGATACACAATAGAGGACGATAGAGGGGTATGGAAGGTATGGATGGGGCTTCACATCCCAGCGTTTCTCTCGCTCTTGTGCAGCCTGATAAAGACAGCAATGCATTGTGGGAGACAGGAAGAGCAGTCGAATCTCTCTGATAACAACGAAAAACAACAAAAAAACGGGTCTGCAGATCAAAAAGACTGACGCTTGAGCAAACACACACACACACGTGCAAGCAAACACACCGCCATAATCTCTCTCTATCAGGTATACCAGAGTGTTTATAGTGTGAGGGACACTGTGGTGAAACACCAAAGCAACAGCTCAAACACATCATACACCAGCCTGGACAACATGACCACTGAGTGACATATAACTTAACAAGCAATACCCGTTGGCTCTGTGCCCGTTTTATTATAGACAGGAATGAAAAGGTATTGAAAACTCATAATATCTGACTCTGCCGCAGACTTTTATGGGCCTTTTTAATGGGAAAGTCAATGAGTCTCGTTATAGTTTGACTTTATGGAAAGCAAAAGCAGGCATATACATTGCAGCAACAATATTTTACTCTATCATCTCTTGCAGACTGTTTAATTAAAAGAGTAAAAGTATTTGTTTAAATTGGTATCAAAGTATGAGGATGGTGTGGAGTTCCATTTTCCAATGCGTCTGTTAGTAGTCGACCCCTCTGTGAATACAAACACTGAATCTGCGGGTTCACACAAGGTAACCGTTCCTTGTTTTAAGGGGACGTGGCAGTCGTATTTTGGTTGAGAAATCCTGAAAATGAAGGAAAAAATCAGATAAATCAGAAGTAAACAGTGCATAAACAGCTTAATCCGAGCTCAGAGTTGTTTGTATTTGTTGTCACTTTGGCGTGGTATTGTTGTTTTAAAGAGAAAATGTGTGGTTGCTGCTTCTTTCCTCCTCTACAAGGGCTTTGGGACATCATCTTGGGAGGCCTCTCAGTTTTTTAGCTTAAAACATTGATAACAAATTGGCTAAAAAACTGTTTGAAAATTATTCTAAAAGTTTGTTTTAACCTTCGTTCAGTGCCAGGTGGGCTGAGAAAGCCCAGGCTCCTGCTCAAGGCTCAGGAATGCAGAGTTTACGTCGGTTATTAGACAGAAAAGGAACTGAATAAAGATTACATGGAAGTTCAGTTTTGAGGGGAGCGTTTTAAAATGTTTCTTTGCTAAAGACAAGAGAGAGGCAAGCAAAGAGTGAGAGTCAGGAGGAGTAAAAATAGATAAGGATAAAGAGAGAGAAAGTGCATCAGTCCTACAAATGTAATCAAAATGAGACACAGTATCACTTTTTTTTTTGTCATAATAAGAATTGTGGTGCTCCATGTAGACCTGCATACAGGCCTGCATGTGTGTTCGGGTTGCTAGTTTCAGGGCGGTGGGGTGCAGTGGGAGCCCAAAGGCTGACATCATAGCTGATGTAATTTACTGGCCGGAGCATTGAGGGTCCCTCCCAGATGGCTCACAGGCTTTTAAAGAGGACAGATGAAGTTTTTTTTTGAAGGTTTTTGCGAGGGGGAGAATGCTGACTGCGTGAATGTGTTCACTGCAGTTTGGGTTTATGTAGGAATGATCGTTCTTCTTATACTTTTATATGTCACTCGCTGTACTGTGCTTGTGCTTGAACGCTTAATCAAACAGTTGATTGACAGAAAATACATTCTTTAATTGAAAACTGCGTGTTATTAGAAACTGAATCCGACTCTGGACGACAATGTAGGTCACTGGAGCTTGTGATGGAAACTCCTTATTATGACAATTTAATCATATTATATAAAAATGAAAGCAAGTAGTTGTTATAACCTAATTTTGTACAATGTGACTGCAGCTAGTCCCAGTAAGTCAGAAAGTAAGACCGATTGTTCAGATGGTCCTAGGTGTGTCATGAATTGTGAGAAGTGATTCACTAGAGTCTCTTTATGCTACATTTTTATTTCTTTTTTGGTTGCAGGTGTTAGTTTTTTACGAGGTGAATGTATTGCAGTATTTACTGTACTGTGTATGTGTATGCAAGTGTTTGTGTGTGTGGTCATGATTTCATTCTAGGAGTTACTGGGGCTCGGCTCGGGGGGGAGAATGCATGCATAGTTGTGTTGCCAAAACCTTCATCACGCCTGTGGAAGGGACCTCTCCCTACACTTAAACTCTGTCTGATCTCTGCCAACAAGGCTTCACGTTGTACAGTCATCATTACGCAATCCAGCCGCCAGATTGTTCCTTTTGGATTATTGCCCGTACGCCTTTTACATTCCAGCTGACAATATTCATTACAGGCAACTATTAAGATGTTCTTGTGCATCTTTGTACCACATTAGTGGGAGGAATTATTTTGTCCTCAGTGTGCACTGCATTTGTGCAGATGCTGATCCATCAACTTGCCGCAAGACGTCAGAATGATTTTTTTCTCCTCAGAGAAGGGAAGTGATCCCAGAGGAAAGTGTTTGGGAGGCAGAGTTTTAGATTGGAGTGCTTAAAAGGCCCTCGGCCCCTCAAGATCCATCATTGTCCAGTCACTACTTCAATTATGTTCATTTGTGCACCATGTTTTATTTAGTCATTTGTTATAAAGTGCGTACTTCAAGGGCACCTCAGGGCAAGAGAGGATAAAGAAGTCGATTAGAAAGCTGTCATTTGTCAACTGCGGTAAACTGATCAGACAGGAGTCGTTTCTGTCCAAAAGCAACCTCGACAACATTTTAAGTTATTTAAATGAAGCTCCAGTAAGTTCTTACAGACTGCATCATCAGCAATAACCAGATCAACTGACAGCAAGATAATAAGGCACCCTGTGTCTCAGCTGACCTGACTGCAGGAATATTTACCATGCTCATAATTTTTTTTAGCATGTTAGCATACAAAGTACAGCCACAAAAGTACAGACATTATTATAATTGAACCTGATGATGGCATTAGATAAGTTCACTCCATCTTTTAGTTGTTGAAATACTTCAGTCTGGACTCCAAGTAAAGTGATCAGTGGTGCACCATATTCAAATCAAAAGGTTAATAGCTAATAGAGAGTGCATCCCTGGGAGTGTCCCAGGTACACAGGGCCTAATAATAACAGTAATAAGGTCAAATTCATGGTAGACTCCCACAAGGGCTTCTCAGACCCCCCAGGACCCACTCGTCTCCGTGTTAGCTCCTCTCTCATCTTTACCGGCATCAGGGAACCTAATCTCCCTCCTCAACCCCTAACATCCCCCAGGC